GATGCTTAGTTAATCACAATGTACATAAAACAGTCAAGGCAAGTATATTTCCCATTCTTGATAACTAGATGACAAGGAAAGTTAAAATGAAAACCACAAAAATATCAACTCTTCCATAATTCACTGTACAGAGGGATCCAAAAGATTACTGATACATGTACATACTTTCTGCAGAGATTTTCCAAGTCCTTGCGTCTACTTTCACAAGCATTACTGAGAGTCAAAGCTGGGTAACAATGTCCTCTGAAAGAAGGTACATCATCAGTTTTTTCAAAAGATGTTTATCTGCAGTTTTCCTCTAGCACTAAAGAATTATTTCTTCACTGAGGTATAAAGAAGCTACATGCATTGGACACTAGCTGTACAGACACTGGCTCATGTGGTTGTTGAATAAAACAATCAACAACTGTTTTTGCAAGTGTATGCGGCAGTCGAAAATACCAATGCTTTGATGCAGTGGTAATGGCTGTGATATTTATACCACTGTGGATATACTCAAATCTATGCATGCCTTGCCAATCTTTAGTGTCCAGCCATTAAGCTACACAATAATGAAAAATAATTCCTATGCACTCAAAACTGTATTGGGCAAATGACTAAAGTTTACTAACTTGTTGAAGACTTTTCAAGCTGCTCTCAGTTTAATATTTTGGTTCCGTCTGTAGCTAGTGAAGTACAGTGTATATATTTCCGCTATGGCATTGTCAAATACTAACTGCTCTGTCTTCAGTAAGACAAATATGCTTTTTACACCTTGACATAAAATTAAAAAGTACTTTAATTTTCAAAACAGTGGAATTCTGACTTCTTGAACCCTCAATTTCTCACATGCAGCTCCATAACTCAGACAAAACAAAAGTCATTTCCCTTTTTGATATCGTGCACTGCAATCATTAGTGAAATCTTGATTTTCTGAATCAATTTTTGCCTCCCTAGGAAGTTCGAGAAATTGAGATTCCACTCTAGTACAAACTGATCACACCTTTTAGCTGCTGCCATTGAGCCCTCTGAAAAAAGAAAGAAAGAAAAAGAAACCTTCAGTTTATTCATAAATTCATTGCCAAAATTGGAAGAAAATAGCTGGGGAGTGAGACTTTTGTCAGGTCATAGGAAACTGTGCATAATAGAGGTGTCCGTATTAGAGAGAGGTAGGGAGAGGTTCAACTGTATCTGTGAACATCTTTACCTGACTGTTCAGGCAACAATCCTTGTCCAATTAGCCACAGAACAACTCTTAGATACTGAAACAAAACCAAATATTTTATTTATCAAGGGCAAATGCCTTACAGAATGCAAGCTGGTAAATGAATGGATGGGTAGAATGATCATTGAGGTGGATGGAAGATGGACAGACGGATGAATAGGTGGATTACATATAAGGAAGCCCTTGATGGATGGAACAGAAAAACAGTGAAATGATCAAGAGTTTTAAGTCCCAGTTACTGTATAGCTACCTACCAATGAGAGAATGCTAACAACATTGTATCTTGCTTCCAAGTCCTTTAAACCTGAAATTACAACAGAAATTCAATTTAATTACTTGGGCTTCTGTAGGAAAGCCCGAGTCAAAAAATGCATGCCGTTCATGGTCGTCATCATATTTGGTCACCAAATGGGGGGTCATGGTCCCAGGTGTTCCTAGTGTAGTGCGAGGAAACTGGGGATGAGAATACGACAACTTTTGCTCCTCGTGAAAAACAATGTGATATACAGAATGTTGTGTTTTATGAAGAAAGTTTGGGAAAGACTCTAAGAAGATGATGATCATTTTCGGAATGGGTTGGCCCAAGAATTATACTGGTTGAAAGTCTGCCGGATAGGCAAAGTTCATGCTCATTCTCACGCAGATAACAAAGGACAGCCATTCATGAGTTCAAACTATGAAAACACAGACAAAAAACAAATCATGATGCTGAGACGAACAATGCGGATATTGAACAATCAAAGAATCGTCGTAAGTAGAACTTGAAAGATGAGGCAAACAATATGCCTTTGGATAAAGAGGATGCTCAATGAAGCAACTTGAATAGTAAATATCTAAGTGTAACTCTTTGTGTTAAAAAGCATCCTCATTCTTCTATTTGTTTTTATCCGTCAACCGGGACATGTTTTCAAAAAGCCAGATACCTGGCAGTCTGAAATTATCATAGAAATTTCCAGGGAATAATTCATTCAATTCTTAGAATACAGTAGATTAGTAGATCTGCCGTCACTCAGTGGGTCTTGGTATCAAGATTGTCATGCAACCTGTAGCGGAGTTTCATCAAATTATGGTCTGTTATGTGCTTCCATGCCGAGGCAGTGTGAATTCAATGCAGTTCGGAAATCCATTGGTATTCATACACAGAGAGCAGGTTCAAATGGACATATCGGTCGAAAAAGAAAAAGAAGTTCTGACTGCCGGGTATATATAGTTTTTTTGCACGCCTGTGACTCACACAAAGTTCGTTGGACCACCTGCAAACTCAAATCATTGAATAAAATCGCTTGGTGTTTATAACCAAAGATCAAAATACTCAAATACTCTTGGGAGGTTTCAAATAAT